GTTGAACCCTTTGTGTCACTCTGTCAACATGTTCTGCTCCTGAATCAGCTGGGTGGGTCTTGCCTCTAGCCTCTTTGCAGGGAGTTCTGCTGAAGGGTTCTGTGCTGGGCCTGCAGCCTGGGTCGAATGAGGATCCCCAGCCCAGGTTGTCTCACTCACTCGCCGGGCCTGTGCTCTGGGTCTGTTCAGGATCCAACAGCCCCGGTCATCTCACTCACTCGCCGGGCCTGCGCTCTGGGTCTGTTCAGGATCCTGCAGGCCCCTGGTTGTCTCACTCCACACTCTTAATTTTTATTTGTATGGAATTATTATTTTGATTCTTTGAATTTTTATTGACTGTTAATGTGGTAGGCAGTTGAGAAATGAAATGGTGAATGAAACGTATTTGGTTGCTACTTTAATGGAACAACAACACAAACACAATCACAACTGTGCTAAATGACCTGAAAGAGAAGTGCGGAGGACAATGAACACTTAGGAATCGCAAGCATCCAGAAGCTACCTCTCTGTAGCCCAAGACCTTGCTTATGTGTTCAGGGAAGAGACTCGGGGCATCTTCCTGACACTCGAGAGACAGCATCCCCCAGCCTAGAGACACGGGGTGAGTCGTGGTGCCCTCCTCTTTGCAGCCATATTTCCCAGGCCTGCCTCCTGTTTGTGCCTCTCTCATAACCAGTGCTTTACTTTGCCTGCATGTTACACAGATCTTTCATTCCACCCCCGATGCCATCTGATATCAAATAGGAGAAGGTACTTTCTCCCTTTTCAAACTTCCATAACCAATTATTTGTACCTCGCTTAGCACTTCATGCACCCTATGAGCTCTGTTACCTAGATATATACCACATATGCTCTTAGGTTATCAACTCTCAAGAGGGCCACAGCAGGTCTTGTTTATATAACAGATCACAACAAACTTTTCATATACTATGCCCACAGAGAACACAAGGAATGCTTTTTCTGAGATATTCTTTTTCATTATGAATTAGAGGATAATAATATTTCATGTGATGATGAATATGTCAACTAGCTTGAGTGTGGTAAGCACTCCACAATGGATACATATATCAAAATATCAAATTATACACCTTACATAGCTATAATTTTTATATGTCAATTATACCTCAATAAATCTGGAAAAATAAAAATAAATCCTATTTAATAAGAAAGAAAATTCCAAGTATACTAACCCAGTTCAGATTTTAGGCTTAAAGAGAACTGACGAGATGCTAGCATTTACTGTTACTGTCTAGACTTACCTCTTTGGTAACAGTGGGAAGTAATAATGCCAAATTGCAGAACTTCCAAGCACTCTGATTTTCCTCAAGATCTACGTAACACTAGAAATGAAAAGTTATCATATTAAAAAGAATCACATTTCTAAGGAAGGGATTCAAAGTTATAGGTAAAGAGTGGTTTTCGTTACCTTGGCCAAGTATGTGTAGTTGAGTAGGGAGTAACCAGGATGTATTTCTTCAGCCTGATTGAAGAGAAAACAGACAAGTGCATGACAGGGAAATATTACAATGATAACAGCCACAAATAAAGAGGAGATGTTTCAATAGATCAGATCTTATTATACAAACTGGCCCCAAGAACTTAGGTAGGTTGTTTTCCATTAAATAATGTGATCAGCTTTAAGTATGTGTTGGGTAGAATGGCTTTTGCCATTAGAGTGAAATTGATTAATACAGTCATAAAGCTTTCAAAGCACTGAGAAATTAAGGTTTTGTGGTTCCTCTGTATCATCACTGCCCTCAGACTTGTATCTCTCTTCTCTTTTATTCTTTTTCTACTAGGTTAATAATCTCTTATGATTTCAACACATTTCATATTAGTAATATGAGTAATATCAGTAGTTTAATTTTTAATTAAGTTTATTGGCATATTTTAGATATATAAAATGATCACATTCACCATAGGGAATTTGTACCTGTGCATGATATATCTTGACTCTTTTTTTTACCCATTCCCCTACCCTCCTCTTTCAATTCCCCTTCTCTTCCTTATTTATATATAAAAATGGACAGGAAAAGAAGGAAAAAAAGTGGAAGCAGAAGCCCATCTTGCTGAGTACTTGAAAGGAAAGGCAGACCTAGCTGGGTATGGTGACACACGCTTGTAATCCCAGCACTCAGGAGACTGAGGCGGGAGGATCACTTTGAGTTTGAGGCCAGCCTAGACTGCTTAGTGAGTTCAAGCTTACCCTGAACTACACAGCATGATCCTGTTTCAAAAACAAAAAAACAAAGGGAGAACCTAGAAACCAACCCAATTGGACATAAGTATTTAATACTCCTTTAAATCTCAGTTCCTTATCTCTGAGAGAGAAGGATTTTTTAGGTGTGGTATCAATCTTAGCTCTTTTTAGACCCCAAGTCAACCTCTGCTTCAAAACAAGATTTTGCTGCTGTAAGAGTGGAAGCAAGCAAGCTCCCAACCTGGCCATGATTTCTTACCGTGAGGGAGCAAAAGCTAACGGAAGAGGAACATGTTTTAAAAATTTATCCCCCAAATGCTTGTTTTAGAAGTTACAAACAAACCAGACATTTCTAAAATTAAAACGTGGAAGTTTCTCTTCCCTACTTTTCCTGTCAGCTTCAACCTCATTCACTAGGAATCAGCACTATCAACAGTGTGACGTGAATCTTACCAGGCCTTTGGTAAGTATAAGAAAACAATGACAAAGAAACAAAAAATAAATAATTTGCTTTTGAAAGAAAATTTAAATTGGGAGCATTTTCTATCCAGGAGCCTAAACCTGCACTTTCCCTACATGGTGTAACAGATGTAGTTTCAAGTTAGCATGCACAGGTCCGCATCCCTGCTCCTCTGTTTCATACTATAAAAACATAGCAATTAAATTAAGCACTTCTCATCAAACATTAAGATTTAGTCTCAGTTTTCACTACTACCAATAACTACCAAACCACACACTCCCTCACGTATGCCTCTGTGCACGTGTTCCTGTATCCGCAGGAGAGACTCCTAGAGGTGGTGGAGACGAGTGAGCCAGGCAGTCTGGTTTGAGAGCTCACACTTCCCATCTTTGTATTGCTGTGCTAGTCACTATGTTTGATTTCATCTGTGTATTATTTCAGGCATGTCAGCAGCTCAGTAACATTTATACAGTGTTCTGGTACCCCAGTCCGTAGAACTTTGATTGTATGAGGAAATGAGTTTTGAGTTCAAATACCATGAAAAAACAATTCAGCATCTCTTATGTAAATAATTTCTCTTAAATATGCTATGATCCTTTTCCATACTGATTGCATATAGGTTTCTCACCAGTGTGACTTCTTTCATGCATTTTATGAGAACTTCTGGTAGTGAATGCTTTCCCACATTGCTTGCATATATAGGCTTTCCCACCTGTGTGGGTTTGTCTATGTCTACAAAGCGTAGACTTAGCAGCAAATACTTTTCCACATTGTTTACATACATAGGGTTTCTCCCCAGTATGAATTTTTTCATGTATTTTATAGTACATTTGTGTACTGAATGCTTCTCCACATTTCTCACATACACATGGTTTCTCACCAGTGTGAATTCTTTCATGTACTTTACACTAACTCAGTGTACTGAATGCTTTCCCACATTGTTTACATGCATAGAGTTTCTCCCCAGTGTGGCTTCTTTCACATATTTTATGATAATACTGTAATGTGAAAATCTATAGATAAGCCTATTGTGGAAATTCATTGTGTAGTAAACACATGTATAAATTGATGAAAAATTTGATGTCAATATTCTTTCATTTATTTTTCAGAAAATATACTCTCAGATAGAGATAACCTAGAATGTTTTCATGCTGTTCTTTACGCAATCATTTGTAAATGTCTAAAGTGTGGATCTGTTGTCTGTATTACAAAAACTTTGTCATAATATATCTTTTGGAACCCTTTTGAGTTTAAACACTATATACTATCTTCTAATTAAACAAGGTGAATTGAAATGTATTTCTTACTTTCAAGTAGGATTACTCTGTCATTTTCATTTTGTTTTTACTATTGAGAGGTATAGCCTTCTAAATATACCTTTAATTTGTTATTTTAATGGAGTTTTTAGACTAGCTTTGATTTTGATTTTATTCATGTACGTAGTTTATTCTTTATGTAAAATTAAAGACAAATTTTTGAATAAAAATACTATGATTCATGTTCTTACAGAACTTAAAGTGAAATGACTAATTCTTAGTGGTTAAAAAATGGTGAAGAAAAGAGGATAAGATTTAAATTTAAGTTTAGATTTATCTTAAATCAAGTATTTGTTGTTGTGCGAGATTGGATAAATTAGTTCCTTGATTCACTTTCTATGTCATAAAAATTACATTAAATTAAAAAAAACCAAAACATATGGCCTTTGTACTCTTTACTTCCTGCCCTCGCTCCCGTTGGGCTATGCTTCATCTCAACATGCATTTTCACACAGTCCTCCAGGCACACAGTGGCCACCGGTCAGAGGTCAAAACTGTGAGGAAGCCTATTTGCCACCTTAGACTACATGATCTCTCATTTCCCTCTCAGTTTTACAAAATCAATCCCTAAAATACAACACAAATGTTATCATCAGAATATATAATTCAGCCTGATTGCCTGTATCTTTATAAATTTGAATGAACTCAGTGGGAGAAAACATTTGGCACATGTTGAACATCCCATGTTCAAAGTGTGAGGAGAGGCAAAGCGTTTCTGATTTTAGACTTTTTAAAGTGTTGGAAGATGTACCTAGACTTAATCACCAATCAAACGTCTGTAATCCAAAAATTGTAAGTTCCAAATGCTCCAAAGTCCAAAACTTTTTCAAAGTTGACATGACAATATTGAAGACTTTTAGATTTTGGAGAATTTCAGACTTCAGATTTTTGGGTTAGGACTGTTCAGCTTATAAATACAGCATCTTGTATTGATTCCAGAATAAAGGAGGTAAGTTTAAATCCACAAAAAAATTGTTTATATGAGAAGATATGTTACACATTTACATGTGTGTACATCTAAATGTTATTCAAGTCTGTGTTAGCATAGAAACTATATATTTTAAGATAACAATACTGGTTTTGATCTGATGCTCTAAGAATATTTCAAACAACATATATGACTTAGGAGGGGTTTTAAGAACTAACTCTTCCTTGTGGAATCTTTTAGTTCTAGAATTAAACTAGTTCTTGTTATGGTTTGTGTTTAGTTGTCCTCTCAAAGGCTCATGCAGTCATAAGGCAGACTTTGTGCTTAATTCATGATCCAGTGCTGGGATTATGGTTGTGAGTGCTACACCCGTCCTGGGGCAGATAGCCTGAATGCAACATAAGGGAGACAAACTTGCTTTCTGTTGCTATTGTTGCTGCTACTCCTCCTATTTGCTCTTGTTGTTCTGCTGTTTTCCACCGCTATGAACTGTTGCCTTCTTTTGTGTACTACTTTGCCTTGGAGTCAACTGAGTATGGACTGAAATCTCCACTAACCTTTCCTTCCTTCATTTTGGGTGCTGCGTATTTTGTCCCAGCAATGAAGGAAAAGTAACCAAGACAGTTCTGCAGCATGTGATGGTATGCATGTAATTCTATCTACCAGGGGACTACAGTGGGAGGATCACAAGTTCAAGGCCAGCACGCACAATATGGTGAGAACTTGTCTCTAAGTAGGTTGGGTTTAGTGCTCTCTGGCTTTAATTCACAGAGTCTCTCTCTCTCTCTCTCTCTCTCTCTCTCTCTCTCTCTCTCTCTCTCTCTCTCTCTGTTTGTTTTTCCGTCACTCTCTGTCGCTCTCTCTCTCCCCTCCTACACAATTAAACCGGTTCTATAATAATTTTCTTGTGTGCGAAACAGTACAGTGTTGGAAAAAAGTCCGCCAAGCAGGGCATAGCTGTATTTGCACTGCTCACATGACTTGGGAGCTGCTGCCAGATTGGTAGTAAGGGCTGCTATAATAAAACTTCTCTTTAGGATGCTGAATTATTTTTTTAAAATAGCTTGTTATTCTTAGGACCTAGAGCAGTGATGGCAAACCTATGGCATAGGTGTTATTTATTTTTCTTTTAAAAGATGTTAATATATGAGCTTTTTCAAAAAAACCTAAAACCTCAGTATTCAGGTTTAATTGCAATGTTGGCACTTTGTGATAAATACATGGGTTTATGGTTGAAGTTTGGGTACTTGTCTCTAAAAGATTCTGCATCATGGACTTAGGATATAACTCGCTGTTATAAGAAGTTCAGATCAGAAACATAAATTGTATTATTAGAGGCTTAAGACAGAACACGCAGCCAGATCTGGTGGCACATCCTTATAATACCAGATACTCAAGAGACTAAGGTGAGAGGATTGTAAATTAAAGGCCAGCCTGGAAAATGTAAAGAGACTGTGTCTCAAAATTTTTTTTAATTAACAAAAGGGCTGAAGATACAGTTCAGCACTCCTTGGATTCAACCTCACTATTGCAAAACAAAAACACAGAACATACAAAAATTAGGATCTCGATAAATATTACAATTAGAGATTTACATGTGGAGAAGAGATAGATTTCTTTGACAAGAAGAGTAGCAGAAATCAGCACAGATGCTAGGCAGTCAAATACAAAAACAACAATAGGCTTGTGTGTAGATGTCTTCCCAGTCTTATGAACTCATAGGTGGGACTCTTCAGAGGTGGCTGGATCTAGGATATGACATTGGGATTAAGTATGTGATGCTTGGATTACATGGGTATATGATTGCTAAATTAGGCCAATGATTGGATTGGTGTAGAGAAGGAGAAAGGTGATTCTAGGTGTCAGTGCTACTTCCCATAAGGCCACGGAACTCAGATAGGATATAAAGCATGGAAGGTGGGTTGCGTCATCACTTGCTGCTTCCTCCCTGCTTTGCTGCTTTGCTGCCCTCGCCCACCATGAACTGTTTCTCTTCTGCAATATCCCTCTGCAAGGCTGCCCCGCCTTGCAGATGTCTATGAACTGAAACTTCTATAAATTATGAGCTACAAAAAATCTTTCCTCCTTTAACTCTGGGTGTTGGGTATTTTATCTCAGCAACAAGAAAAGTAATTAAGACAACACGGGATACCTTAAGGAAGTTATGCAAAGCTTCTTGTATAGTTGAAGATGGCATTCTTCCAAACAGAGCAGCAGCCATTTTTTTCTCAATCCAGCTGAGTTTTGAGACCTGAAATTAGAGAGCACCATCACTCTGAAGAAGCTACTCACTTTTGGCTGGATTATCTTTCCTCAGAGAGGTGTGTGGGTACCTAAGTATGTATCTGCACATATAGACCACGTCTATAAATAAAAATACTTATCTACAAATACTATAGGAGACTTATTACCCTTGTGGTATTCATAGCTTTCCATTTGACTCATAATTATGTAAATCATCTGTTCCAGAAGTGCTTGTTTCAAAATCAACTTGAAATGCTCATGATAGGATTTTTGTGCAACCCGAGCGGAACGATGCCAAGCCCGCTGTCCTCCTCCCACCTACTGTGTGCTGCCAAGAGGCCTCCTGCATATAGACAGGATTTCAGACATGGAGATGGAACAAGTATCCTCCACCTGACTGTACAGAGGGAGAGGCCAGGATATGTATTTATAATCCAGGAAATTAAAAAAAACCCAACCAACAAAACTAAGTTTCATATTACCATTTATTTTTTACTTTTAATTTTTTCACTTTCTGATTATGATAGTATTGGATATTTACTATAAACTGCTTTGCTGCCTTCACCCACCATGAACTATTCCAAAATGAATGCTTAAAGGGGATTAAATACAATTTATGCCCTGAACTCACATCAAGCATCTTCTTCCTTAATCCCATCTTTTAAATTTCTAGGTAGCCATTAATGATCTGTTCTTTAAAAACCTGCATTTCTGGAGTTTGCGCTCTGTGCTTCCTCCATTGCCCCAGGGTGCTGATGCCGTGAGTGGAGCTGAGATAACACCCAAAAAATCAAATACTTAGGAATCAATCTAACAAAGGTTGGAAAAGATCTCTACATTGAAAACTACAGAACCTTACAAACAGGATACCAGAAAATGGAAAGATATCACTTGCTCTTGGATAAGAAGAGCCAACAGTGAAAATGGCCATACTCCCCACACTGCAACGCAGATATAATACAATTCCAATCAGAAAACCTTTAACAACCCTCACAGATCTAGAGAAACTTTCCTAAAATTCATTTGGAACCAGAAAAGACCTAGAATAGCAAAAGCAATTCTGGTCAACAAAGGCATGGCAGGGAGCATTACAATCCCAGGCCTGAAATTATATTACAAAGCTATGAAAATAAAATCAACATGGTATTGACAAAGAAACAGTCCTCAGGATCAGTGCAACAGAACAGAAGATGCAGGCCCATCCCCAAACACACTCAGACACCCTATCTTTGAAAGAGGAGCCAGACATGTCCACCAGAAGACAGCCTCTTTAACAAATGGTGCTGGAAAAACTGGCTCACCATGTGCCAAAAACTAAAACTAGACACATGCTCTAAACATGTCTATCACCACGCACTACGCTAAAGTCAAAATGATCAAATATCTGTATTTCTTAGTGCTGTCTATATTATAGTATCCTCAAGCTGCTTCCTACTCTGTTCAGGTTCGTAGTCCCCTCTACCCAAAAAGGGTTAATGTACTGAGCTTAGTAAATGCTTCTGCCTCTGAGGTGATTTCAAAACTGATATACTAGTCCTGGGAGGTGATGTTCCTGATTTCTTTCTGGTATCTGGCTGTTCCCCTTTTTTGCAGGTTCTTCCATTCAGTTGATTAGAAACACATACATGTACAACACACACATACAAACTTTTAAGATATTTTCTGGCCAGAAAGTTTTGAGCTGTCTAGTCTGTATGTGCTGGAAACAATCTTCATATCTTTGTTCATTCTTGCTTTAATATTTTTGCTAAAACTGATTCCCCATGTAGCAATGAATTCCAGCCTCTCATACAATTCCTCTTTGTCATCTGTACTTATAATTTGTAGGAAGAGAGACTCGTAAAGAGCAATGACAGACTACCTGGATTTGAATCCTGTCCTACCACTTAATAGCTGAGTGACCTTAGCAAATCATTCATTTTAAGGGTTGTTCAAAGAATTAAGTGAGCTACAATCTATCAACGTCTACAAAAACATAAAATATTTATATGACCCTGCACATGTTAGTTATTACTACTACTGTATTTTATATTCTAGTGCTCTGTAATTTCTTTTCTATTTTCAATGTGTCATTTGAGCAACAAATACTGTTGGAGATTCTTATGCTAAGTGTGAAGAACTGCACAGCATACTAAGTAGTGTAAAATGTGGACTCTCTCCAAGAGCTTTCAGATAACTTGGCATCAACAGGAAAAAATAGTAAATGAAAAATGTGATCTGCTGGAAGGTAGTACAACCCTAGTGCATCAATGGTATAGTTCACTGCACTGGTTCAGACAGTGGTGACAGCACCATGTATTCTGTAACTCTGAATAGACACTTTAAATCAAAGTGCTGTAACCATTCCAGTATTTGACATGACCAGGTGATAACCAGGACAAAATTGGGAGTAGCAAATGATATGATTTTTCTCTTTTTTCCTTATAAAAACGTAAGTTCCTTTCCTATGTAACAGCATGGCAAGTGTATAAATTCTGGAATTATGAACAATTAAGAATTAATGTCTTTCACATTTGGGATACCAGGAAGGTCAGATTCTTTTAACATTAGAATGATGGGATTTCCAGTCCAATTTTTCTAAGGAGTCTCCACACTGATTTCCATAAAGGTTGCACCAGTCTACATTCTCACCAGCAGTGAAGAAGGGTTCCTTTTTCCCCACAGCCTCTCCAACATTTGTTGTTGGGTGATTTCTTTATGATAGCCATTCTTTTGGGGGTGAAATGATATCTCAATGTTGTTTTAATTTGCATTTCACGGATGGCTAGTGACGTGGAGCATTTTTTCATATATTTATTCACTTCTTTAATTTCTTCCTCTGAGAAGTGTGTGTTCCTCTCAGATGCCCATTTCTGGACAGGGTCTTTAAATTTTGGGGCCCTAGTGTGAAGCAGAAGACCAATACTATTATGGACTACTCCTCTTTTATAATATTCACTACTGGACTCACCTATAATATTCAAATAATGGAACTTAACAAAAAAAAAGGGGGGTTACAGATGAATGTCCATTTTGTAACTGTGTATTCAAAATGGTTAGGATAGATATATAGTTATATTCTTTTAATGAATAGAGGGATTTGTTCTAATAATGTTTGTAAATAGGATATCATGTCCGCATCTTGTACGGCAATTAACCACTTGGAAGAATGTACACAACGTGTTAATTATTGAATCTGTCCTACAAATTTGGTTTGAAACTGTCTCATTGCTATTTGTTTCTCAATAAACTTATGGAAAAAAATAAACATTAAAAAATTAGAATGATGATAAATGCCTGCCTCACAAACTATTTTAAGAATTAAATGTGAGAAGAAATATAAAGTATAATTTGCATTTGTGGTCTATCGTAGATGGCCAAGAAAAGCAACCTTCTTTCCTTATCTCTAACCCTCTTTCAACCTTAATGAAAATGTTATCTTTTTCACCCTAATTTTCTCATTTCCAAATTGTTTTTCCTTTTCATGGCAACTTTTCTCTCTCTCTCTCTCTCTCTCTTTTTTTTGTGGCCAGCTCAGCCTGCCCTGGGGGTGGGTGGGGCTAGTGGGGCATGTTGTGCCTGAGATTGAACTGAGGTCCCTGCACATTTGCCTAAGCTTGCCTAAGCAGGTGCTCTAGACCACTGAGCTATCTTGCTAGCCCCCATGGTAACTTTTTAATGCATCTCTTAGATATACTTTTATACTTTTATGTCTTATTTTTCTTTTGGTAGCTAACACTGCTTTTTAAGATACCGGTCTTAGGCTGGCCAGCTGCCCTTATTTGAGTTTTTTCAATGTATCTCATATCCCTTCTAAATTAAGTTCCTTAAAGAAAGCATACACATGACACAGATTTTTTTAAAAATGTTTTTAGTATAGGGTCTACAGGGTTTTACTAAGTAGATCAGACTCATAGCGATCCTCCTGTTTTCAGCCTCCCAAGCACAGGGATTACAGGCATGTACCATCACGCCCAGTCTCAATCGCCATCTTAGCATGCCCCAGGGGTCGCGCCCACATGGCAGGTTGGGGATCGAACCCCAGCTGCTGTGCTTTGCCTAAGCAGGTGCTTTAGTCTGCTGAGCTATCTGCTGCATGACACAAATATTTTAAGATATTTTGTGGCCAGAAAACTGAAGTTAGTTTTCTGATTAATTAATTAGAACATAATTTATTTTCAGTAAATACTGCCAGGTAAAAAGAAGTCCTCTTATAGAACCAGGGAGAGTTGACATTGAGAGAGAGAGAGAGAGAGAGAGAGAGAGAGAGAGAGAGAGAGACAGAGAGAGACAGAGCGAGACAGAGACAGAGACAGAGAGAAGGAGAGAGAAAGA